TCAGCAGCTGTTCTAAAGCATTTTCGCATGGCAAAAATGAAAACTGGTAAGCTTTTGCAAACTGGTAAGCTTTTCCTCTGCAACAACACTTTCAACCTGTCCCCAGAGATACAGAAGTCCAGTGCTTGTTTGCATGCCACTATACAGTCTGCAGAGCAAACCCCTCTTTCATTGCATCCTGCTCATCATCTGCCTGTTTCATTTGCCAAAAAGCAGAGATCAAGCCTGGTTCTGAATTGCTTCTCAGGTTCCCCCCTCTTCTTCCTTCCCTGTAAGCTCACAGTGAGGAGTCATCCTGAGCCAGCATGTCTCATTCTTCCTTTGGTCTGAGCTAGAGGGTTCTTATTTCCAGGCACAGCCAGATAAGGTTTGTTACAGCCTGGCTCACAGAAAGCCTAGAAAATGTTGATCAGAGAACCTCAGTCTGGTCTGCTCAGATTTGTAAGAGATGTAGAGGAGGATTTCTGAAGTAATTGGGTATTCTTTCTGCCTTTGCCATAAACGGTGGTCTGGGACGGTGGAACAGAAAATGCACATTAAAAGGGATTAATAGTTTGTAGCTAATTCAGCAAAGTTCTGTTCGTGTGAGGTTAAGTTGCTTCATTGTTGAACTGAGAATAACTTTTATAAATAGATGTGTGTGAACCTGGTGAAGTCACTGACATTGCTCAAGTAAATTAGCAGCTGCGGAACTGGGACTTTAATTTAGTTTATGACTTCATACTGACAGAGGTAGCAGAAACCTGAGAAATCATATGGTATTAGGCTGAAAATGGCTGAAATTTGGTTTTGAAAGTTGGACAGACCAAATGTTGTGCACACATGCTGTATTCTGTATATATTGCCTAGCCCTTGGAAATAAACACATGCAACTTTTAAGGCTTTAACAGTTAATGTTGTCTATGTCTGTCCTTTGAAGCTAACAGAAGTAAATGAATTTCAAAAAGCTTTGCATCAAGCCCCAACCCCTCCCCCAAACCTCTTACTTTTTTCTTGAATGCTAAGTTACACCATTTAATTTAAACCTCTTAATAAAGAAACTTTTGTCTCCTCCTTGTCTCCCGCAAATTGTCTTCTTTAACTCTGTTTTCCTCCTCTTCATCATGGATTTGTATTAAAATCACATTATTTATTAAAGCGCTCGGAGTGAATTATTTCTGCAGTACCTGCAGAAATCACATGGACGTTCTCCAGACTTCCTAAATACATTAGGAGAATTGCACAGAACTGCAAGCTGGTGCTGCCATGTCTTGCTTACAACACCGTCTCAGGCTGGAGACCACATGTATGGGGAACTGACTTTTGAGTCTTTGCAGGACCACTCTCGAGATGCCATGGAAAGTGAGTGCTTTGATGCATGGGGGGAACAAAGTCGAGGCTGGAGTGTCAGCGATGCTTCTCCATGTTCCCCCCTGTAGCCATGGTCATGTTCATAGTTGCTGACAGAGGCAGGAGGAGAAGTCAGCCTGCTCAAGACCCAGCCAAGCCGTGTTTCTCCTGATACTCCTTTTATTGATCTTCCTGAATGTGTTTTGAGAAAACCCAAGAACACTCCCCTTCTGCAGACAGGACTGTTGAAAACAGTGGAGTAATTTAGGTGAGAGAAACTGTGCCAGCCACCCTTTGTTAACAGAAAGCCACACTGATGGAGAATGAGAGGTGACTGTGCCTGAGCACAGCTGCTGTTTTTCAGCCTGAATGACCAGATGTGGCTGGCCTGATACCCTAAGGAAACAGGGCTTGGGCAGTCCCCCTATTTGACTATGGGTTTGTCTCATTTCT